AATGTCGAAGGGCCCCGGGGCGATTCCCTGATCAAGCTCGCGGAACTCGCGAAGATGATGCGGGGGGTGACCACGGGAGTTTTATGCGTTCAAGAGATACAAGTGCACGGCGCACACTTCGATGAAGAGGATGGATTCTTTGTGTGTCTGTCTGGGGAGCTCGATCCAAAACAGCGCTCAGGCGCGCGGCTTATCATTGCTCCGTGGGTGCGCCGAGCTGTGGCAGCTTCCCGCGCCGCACCACCGCGTTTGGCAACTTTGCGAGTGCGCGCCTAGCGCTGCGTCTCGGACGTTATCACCGCCTTTGCTCCGCATAGTGGGCACCCTCCGATCATCGGCACGTATTCTTCTCTTGGCTAGGGGCAACGACGAAACGCGCGACAACGCGCAGCGCGACGTCTGTCCTTGGCAACTTCAACGCGAAGCAATATCAGCAAATCCCAGGGGGGAGAGAACACTATCGGTGAGTACGTTTTCAATGCGTGCCCAGCCAGAGGGCACGGCGACAGATGGCGAGCGAGCTACCGTTGATGGGGCATTGCGTGCCGAGGGACATTGCACTTGCCAGCGCGCACTTCCAAATGCCAGTTGGAGACGTCGGGGGCCACCCGCTGGAGAGCATCCGTCGGCAGAGCTTCAATGAGATTGACAGCGTGCTCTGCCGCAGCGCAGTGCAACCGCGGGCTCTGGATTGCAGGCCGACAGGACGGCGGCTCTTAACAGCCATCGCTTCCCGACGCAAGTAGCGGCGCGCTCCCCGCGTGGAAAAAAACAGCTGCGGTGGCGCAGGTTCGCGCTGATGCATCGTCGGTGCGGGGCCTATGCCTGAAGATGGAATTCACGCTTAACTCCCGAAGAGCATGGGCATCATCGCGAACGACAGATGGGGCGCTCAACGACGCTGTTGCGAATATTGAGCAGGCCTTCGCAGCAGCATAAACTGCTTACCAGCCAGGGCAACTCAAGACAAGAAGCGTTGGGTATCGTTTTCGACATTGTCATGAGAGATCACCGCCGCGGGCGCATCTTGGACCGGGATATCTGGGCGGCGCGCACGAAGATCGCACCGCGTGAGTCAGCGAGAACTCAGGTGGCGGAGGCCGGGGGGCCGCGAAACATCTCCAGGGCGCGTCGCATTCCAAACGCGCCGGGGCGCGAGACCTGAGCAGCAACTTCGCGCAGCGGGTCGCCCAGGCGCCCTAGCAGACTATTTTGAGAAGGTTCAGCGGGGCGTCGAGTTCGCTGATGTTTTCCCTCCTGCCTCAGATGCCCCCGGGGGGCGACCTGCCGGCGGCAATTTCGGATCTTGCATTGGTGGAGCTACAGTGCGCCTTAAAGAAGAGGAAGCGCGGGGAAGCAGCAGGCCCCGATGGCGCCCCTCCAGATGCTTGGAAAGTGCGATCTCGAGATGAGGACGCACGCGCGGTGCTTTTTTGAGATTTCTCAGAAGTGCTGAGGGGCCAAGAACGCGCCTGACGATGGAGAAGAGCGAAAGTCATGCTTTTGCTCAAGGGCGTTACGTTGCCAAGCAATTGCCGCCCAATCTCTCTCTCTTGGCCGTTGGGGTAAAAGCCTCGGCTACAATGATCTACCAGAGGCCATTGCGAGTTGGGGCCGGAGACCAGGCGCGCGGCTCGCAGTTTGTTGCGCGACTTCGGCGAGGGACGGCAGATGCCCTCGTGGTCATCGGGCGGATGATGGACGCCGCTATAGCCAACGAAGGCGGCGGCATTCTAATGACGTTCCTCGACTGGGCGAAAGCCTTCGACAGACTGAAAACCGCAATGTGCGAGTGGAGTTTTGGCGCGTTTTGGGGCCGCGCTCCCCGCGGCGCGGATGATCGAAGGAATTTGCGCGGAACGCTTCTTCGTCATTGTTGATCCTTGTGGGTGTTCCGCTGTTGTTCATCGATGTCCAAACTGTTATGTTCCACGGTGTTCATCATGAGCTACACCTTCAACGCGAACCAACACATGTGGCACCGCGAGGCGCGCTGTGCGCAGACGGCGCAGCTGCTATTTCAAATCGCACGGAAAACAACCAAGCGCCGTTGATTGATATCGTTTTTGAGGGCACAAATACGGCGTGGAGTTGGACTGGGACAGGGCAGTACACATTCCAGTATTGGCCAGCAGTTATCGTGGCGACACCAACTAGAGAACCCATCAAAATCGTTAATCACGTACACCTTGGAAGCATGGTTACCAGCGCTGGCCGCGTAGGACACGAGCTTAATCGCCGACTGGGTGAAGGCAGCGCTGTGTTTCATGAGCTGCGCAAGATTTGGAACCATTCCCCCATTTGCAAAACGAGGAAGCAACGCATACACATCAGCTGCATCATTCACAATGTTTCACACCTGTTTCATTATGTATTTTTCTTGAAGCACGAACGCCAGCGACAATGCGCTTTTCACGGCAAGTGTTTGATCGAAATATAGGCCAGTCCGCATGCCAATTTCTTAAGGTATCGAACGCTACTGTTCTCGACCGTGCTGGCTCCAAGCCCCTCTCCGACATGTTGCGCGATCGACAAGTTCAGGTCTACAATATCGTGATCGACTTGGAAATACGTCGTGTGCGACGAAGGAGTCGCTCCCAAAAGTTGGGCCGATCACGGGTGGAGAGGCAGACCCTGGCAACAATGGGCCCTGCCTGTCTACAGAGAGTTGGAGGAATCGTATAACCGATGGGGCTGCCGTGGCGCGCGTCGATTTTTTCGCCGGGCATTTGGCACGTTTGGTGCTCCACGGCGCATGTGGCTGTCCATGCCCAGGCGATTGATGGTGTATTTCCCTGCTTCGTCCTCTTCCTCGCCCTCGCCTCCCTCCTTCCCCCCCCATCGCCTTTTTCACCTCGTTGCTCTACGCCGCACACACGCGATTTCTGTTTTCTTTGTGACGGCCCACTGTAGTTGTCGTGCCGGCGCGCCCTGCTGGACGCATGGCTTGGGTGCGTGATCTACGTTCTATGATATTGCATACCTTTTCGCGATCCACGTTCTGCACGTTCTCGCACAGAGATGGCCAGACACTCTGTATCTAGTCGCAACGCACCTGGGGAAAGGTCCGTGGAGTACAGTGGAAAGCCACGCCAAGAAACACCTTGCCTGCCTCCATGGTGCCTTGGGTTTGTTGGGTTCCGATGGTTTGCCATGGGAAGCGTGGCCTTCCCGCACCAGAAATCAGCGGACGCCCTGGGGCCTCAGGGTTGGGTTTGTCGTGGAAGGTTTCTTGTGGTCGAGCTCTTCGTGTAGCGGTTTCGCGACCTCTCCTGTCCCCCCAGGAGCGTGCGTTGCGCGTGCTCGGGGACATGCAGCGCCGGGCGGTGCCGCCGGACGCCTTCACCTGCGGCAGCGTGGTCAGCGCTTGCGGCAGGGCGTCGTGGCCCGGCAGGGCGTTCGAGCTCTTCGGCGTCCTGCGCGCAGGGCGGGTGCAGCCCGACCTGGTGGCGAGCAACGCCCTGCTGGGCTGCTGCGCGCGCGCGTCCTGGTGGCGGCGCGGCCTCTGGCTGGTGGGCGAGATGCGGAGGCGTCGGCGGGCAACGCTTTTGCGACTCCGTGGGTCCTCGGCGGCTTCCCAGCCAAGGCATCCCTGCCAGCGGCTGCGCCTCGCCGAAAGCGTTCTAGGGGTGCCCGCAAAACGTCCCGAGCGGCCACCGGAGAGTCGAGCTATGGCCTGGAAACCGGAAACCAAGGGCGACGTTGGGGGGGTTCGGCTCAGGGGGGGACGCATCGACTCCCAATCGCCAGTTGATCGCCGACAGGGGCCCGATAAGTTCACCCGCGCCGCCCAGGAGCGTGCGGCTTCGCTGTCGGAGGCCTATCGCCGATCTATCGGCGATGTATCGCCGATTCTGGCTCGATGTTCGCCCCTGAGTCGGTCCCTCCCAGGAGGTTCTCTTCTCAGGCAGGGTCCATATTGATCTGGTCGGTCCGATTCGACATCTCGGGTGTTGCTAGAAGTGCGCCTTTGGCCAGCGGTACCTCTAGCAGCCCCCGGACATCGTGGTTTGCTGGCCTGGTCCGACGACCCGATGCGGCCCGATGTTTGCACGGCGTTGTTGTGCATCTTGGTGCAGCCGATCCGAGGCGATTCGGATTATGTGCCGTTGCAGCCCGACCCAGCGCTTCGATACTCGAAGAGATGTCTTGATTCGATGTTGATTGATCTTGCAAGGTGGGGCCTGCAGCTGGACCACGTCAGCTGCAACACCCTCATGCACGCTCTGGGCGAGGGTGGGGTCGGTAACAAATCATGGGAGCCTTGCGTGTCCTCCGAATTCCGCCTTTAGAGTGCACCAGCGTGGGCTAGCGATTGGTGATCGATAAGGAGGCGCCGATTTAGCATCGATGCGCGTCGGGTTAGCGTCGACGTGCGTGGATGCAGCGTCGATCCACGTCAGTTCGCAAGAGCCAACGAGTTGGCGTCAGAGATCCCCATGAGTTGCCGCAAAAGGTGGGAAGCCCGAGCTGGCAGAGCGCGCCTTCGAGGACATGCTGGGCCGCGGCCTGGCGCCCACGGTCGTCACCTTTGGGACCCTGCTGGGGGCGCGTGCGAAGCGCGGGGAGGCCCGGAGAGCCCTGGAGCTCCTGGCTGCGCTGGAGCAGCACTCGCTGAAGCCCAACATTCGGAGGCCCAGAGGTCGGCACCGACACCAACATCGGCGGCGTGCCTCCACCGAGAGGAGATGATCCGATCTCGGTGGTGGTTGTGATATTCGGGCCTCCTGGGTGGCCGAATGATGACCACCAGCAGCAACATCCAGGATCATCTTCCCCTGGAGGAGGCACCCCCCCGAGTCGGTGTTGGTGCCCATTTCCAAGCCTCCACCCCAGACCCCCGACGTCATGATTTTTTCATCACGTCGACCCCCGACGTCATGATTTGTTCATCACGTCATGACTTTTACATCACCGGCTTTGCATCCTGAGTCGTTGTTGACGCTCCCGAGGCCCGGTAGAGGCCCCCAGAGGCCGAAAATAGCGAAAAGCCTCCCGTCGTGATTTTTGTTTATGATGCGAGGGGGTCTGGGAACCTATCGAGATATGCAACGCCGCCATGGCCGCGTGCGGCAGGGGGCGGCAGCCGCGCGCCGCGCTGGAGGTCATGGCCTCGCTGCCGCGCTGGTCGCTGCGGCCCAACGTGGTGACGCTCAGCACGCTGATGAGCGCCAGCGAGGGCCTGGGGGCTGCTGCGGCGTCCTGGGCTTAGATGGTGCTAAATCGCTGGAGATTTTGTTTTTGTTTTCAGGGTCGACGTTTCTGTTGCTCGTTTCGGGGGTCTGTTGTTCCCCGTTTTGGGACACTCGTTCGCGCCGTGTTCGGTTCGGTTAGCTTTGTTTGTTTATTCTCTTGCACAGGGTGTCTAGAGCTCCGACCACTTTATTCCGCGTCGCCCCTCCCCCCCGCGTACCCAGCGCCAGAGTGGGACCCCCGCGCCGTGGCTCTCTGCCCCGAGCCCCCCGCGTCCCCAGCGCCCCAGCGGGTGCCCCGCCCACAGCCCCCTCCGCCACGAACGCTTATCCGGCGTCGCACATCCCCCCTCCCCCCGCGTCCCCAGCGCCAGAGTGGGACCCCCGCGCCGTGGCTCTCTGCCCCGAGCCCCCCCGCGTCCCCAGCGCCCCAGCGGGAGCCCCGCCCACCTGCCCATTCCGCCACGAACGTTTTATTTTGCGTCGCGACGCACACCACCTCCCCCACCTCCCTCCCCGCGTCCCCAGCGCCCCAGTGGGGGCTCCGCCCCGTGCCCCCTCCGCCCCGACATTTTATTCCGCGTCGCGACGCACACCACCTCCCCCCCTCCCCCCCCGTCCCCAGCGCCCCAGTTGGACCCCCGCCCCGTGGCCCTCTGCCCCAAGCCCCGCCCAGTGCCCCCTCCGCCCCGACCATTTTATTCCGCGTCGCGACGCACCCCCCCCCTCCTCTCCGCGCCCCCAGCGCCCCAGTGGGACCTCCGCCCCGTGCCCCCTCCGCTCCGAGTACTTTTTGTCCGCGTCGCGACGCAGACCACCTCCCCCCCCCTCACCACCTAGGATTTGGGCCCCGTTGCTGAGCCCCGAGGGGCGATGTGTTAGAAGTCTTCCCCCCTCCTCCACCTCCTCCTCCCCCTTCCTTTCTGTGCAAGGGCCATGGCACACGCGCCACTTGTTTCCGTTGCGAGATCAGTTGTTTTCCTGCTTTGGGATTGTCGTTTGCGCCGTTTTCGTTTCGGCTGTGTTTTGTGGTGCAGTTTTTCTGTCCTGGACTGCCGTTTCCGTTCTGGTTGGCCGAGGACAAGACGGTTGAAACAGGAAAAAACACGGCCCAGCGTTTCTTCGGCGGCCGAATTCGAACCTTGCCCTCGCCAATCAATGATTTTGGCAACTCGAAGGGCGGCGAGGGTAGGGTTCGGAATTCGTCGAAGTCGTGGCGAAATCCGAACCCTACCCTCGCCTCCCATCGATTCAGCAGAATCGATGGACGGGGGGGGGGCTGCAGGTTTCGGATGTCGCTTCCGATTTGTACCACTGAAGCCCACATATGCGATGCTCTGAGTTTTCTCAGTGCTGGGCCCCTGGAAGTCCCGACCCGTTCCCCGGGGCCTTCTCCTTTCGTCGCGAGCCCTTCTCTTCGACGGGTGCCCCGGGGCCTGGCGAGGGCCAGGCCTCCCGTTCAGCGCCAGCGCTCGGGCCCTTTGCCGCTCTCGCACCTCTCCGCTCTCGCTTCCGCACCATGTCTGGGGTCATCTGGGCCTCCCCGATGGGCTCCGAGCAGAGGGAGTCGGAGGAGCGCGCCGCATCGCCGATGCATGGGCAGTGCGGCTCGATGTGGAGCTCCATGTTTCGCCACGCCGACGGCGCCGATGCATCGCCGACGGCGCCGGTGCATCGCCGATGCATCGGCGATGCATCGGCGATGCATCGCGGGGCGGCGCGATATTTCCGGCCCCATCTGCTCGGACCCCATGCAGGAGGCCTCCGGATGAGGTCCTGGGAGCGGGCGCTCTCGCACCTGCGCGGCCTGCGGGCCGGCCCCAACGTGCCCGCGTTCACCGCCGCCGCGGGCGCGTGCGCCGCCGCCGGCCGCTGGCGGCGGGCCTGGGGGCTGCTGGCGGAGATGCGGGGCAGGGCCCTGGCGCCGAACGCGCTGAGCTACGGCGCCGCCCTGGCCGCGGGCGAGCGGGCGCGGCAGTGGGCCAGGGCGCTGGCGCCGGGGGGGGGGCAAGAGCCCATCGGTGAGTCAACGATGGGGTCCTGAGGGGGGGGGGTCCTGAGGACGAGGTGCCCCAGGCAGTGCAAATATTCCCTCGGACCCCCTCCTATCCCTAGGACCCCATCCCTCAGGATCTCATTTTTGAACCACCGAGCCCAGACCTGCCCAGATGGCGCGGGGGCTTCTGAGAGGCCCTTGCCGCCTTCTGAGCAGGCCTCCCTCCTTCTCGCTTCCCTCCTTCGCTTGCCGCGCTCAGGGCATCGGTGCAGTGGAGGCCCATGCCAAGAAACACCCCGCTTGCCTCCAGGGTGCCCTGGGTGCCTTGGGCTTCGATAGTCTTGCTCTGGGCAGCGTGACGCTCCCGCACCAGACGTCGAGGGACGTCCTGGGGTCGCAGGGCTGGGTGTCTTGTGGAAGGCCTCTTGTGGTCGGGCCCCCTGCTGACCGCCCTCTCAGGCGCTGGCCTGGGCGGTGGCTCCGTCCGCGGGCGCCGCGGGGCCGCTCGCGTGCGCCCGCGCGGCGGGCGCCTGCGGGGGCGCAGGCCAGGGCGCCGCGATGCTGCGGGCCGCCGCGCGGGGGAGGCGGCTGGCGCGGCGGCAGCCCCGCGCGTGGTGCGGCGAGGATCATTGGTCCGAAAGATACCCGTACCCGGGGCCAGCCAAGGTGAGATGGGCCGTCCGGGGGAGTGCGCGCCAGTGCAGCATCCGCGCGTCAAGACGCAACGGCGCTCTCGATGGTTGGGTGTCTGATTGCAGCGACAAGGGCTGGTTTTTGTTAGGGACGTCTAGGGGCATCGTGGTGCGCGCGCGGATGAGGAGGGCCCTCCTCGAGGAGGGCCGAAGGTCGGGGAGCGAAGGATGACAGAAACATATAAACATATAGAAGCTCGGAGGTCCGCGCGGAGTTCTCGGACCTGCGCTGGGCCCTCCCTGGCGCGAGTCGAGGAGCATCCTGGATCATCCTGGATCGTTTCGGATGAAAGCACGAAGCCGAATACATGCACGGGGAATGGACGACCGAGCGGTGGCGAGAGGAGGACGTCGGCTCGGCCCCGAACGGACCGCGAGAGCAGTCGAACGTGGACGGCCGCGCCTGGCACGTCGGCCCCAGTGAACATCCGTCCCAAGGCTGGACGGGTGCTGGGGCTGCGGCAGCCCGAGGAGAAGGAGTAGGAGGAGGAGGAGGAAAAGGAGGAGGTGGAGGAGGACGGGGTGGAGGAGGAGGAGGTGGAGGAGGAGGAGGAGGAGGGCGCGGATTCTGTACGTATCCGCGCGGCGCTAATCCATGTTTGCGCTTCCGCACAAGAGGGAGGATGAGGAGGATGAAGAGTAGGGAGATGAGATGGAGTAGTAAGCATCGCCGATGCATCGGCAATGCGGCTCGATTTGGGGCCCGATGTTTTCCACGCCGACGTCGCGGATGGGTCGCCGACGTCGTCGATTCATCGCCGATGCGTCGACGCTGCATCGCCGACGCATCGGTAATGCGGCGCCATCCTCCGACCCCATTAACTCCGACCCCATTTAGGGGGCCTCTACGCTTCCCGCCCGGCGGCGCGAAGTTAGTTGCGCCGCGTGACTATCCCGGGGGCTGGGTCAGGGGCACTTCGCCCGCGGGGGACACGGCACAGCACGGTGTGTCTGAGTTTTGGTCTCGGCCCATGCGCTGCTCCTCGGGGCACGGATGAAGCGGGTCCTGCGGGAGCGGGTGTTGGAACCAGCTCTTCATTGTGCGGGCTCTCTTTCGACTGCAATGGAGCCTCGGGAGGGCCTGGAGAGCCCGAGAACGGCGAGCACGTTCCAGGACACTGTTCGCTTCAATGGCGATCCTCCTCCCCCCGCCCCCCTGTACAAATGCCTGCCAGCCGGTGGAGTCTTCTGATCAGCCTTTATAGGGGTCATGTTCGTTTGCTTCATCCGCTCGTGGCCTCTACGGCTGAGGGTACAGAGTCTTGCCAGATAGGGAGGCATGTCTACAAGGAGGATGGAGACGAACAGTGAAGGAGGGAAAAAGGGAGGAGGAGGAGGAGGAAATGTAGGACGAGTAGCAGGAAGAACAGGAAGAGGAGGAGGGGGAGGAGGAGGAGGAGATCCGTAGCCATTTTGGCTCAAACCATTTTGGCTGCTGGGCAGGTCAGCGTGTCCGGGGGACCACAGGTGCCTGCCAAGGCAGATCCTCCCCGTCTTTGTTTTTCGCTCTACCGGTCTCAGTCTTTCTCCCGCCGCTCCTGAGTACGATACCGGCATATGGTCACGCTCGCAGCCGCAGCGCTGCCTGAGAATCTCATTGCAACCAAGCAGCAGATGCCACCGACGCCGATTTCGCTGCCCTTGACGAGCAAAGGCAGCGTCGGCTGCAGGCAGACTTGGAGGCCTTCCAGACCTTCCCGTCCAGCAGAGCAAGCCGCATCCCACTCCTCGGGCCGATGATGTTGCTCTTCCTCATGACGACAATCGTGCAGGTTTGCCTGCGGGTACGTAATCGCGACGGAGATGCAGGTGGTGACGTTGCCTTCGAGATCCTCGATGATGGAGACGACTCGATCGGGGCGGTCCGCGTATACGACGACACTACGAAGAAGGAGCTTCTCGCAACCATTTCCAAGTTCCAGATCGTGTTCGCCAGCCTCGCCCCCTCCGCGTCCGACACTTGCGACAAGATGAGCAAGCACATGGGGCGTCGTTTGGCAAGTGTCGAAGCACGTCAGAACCAACACGACGCCCGTCTCGCCCAGCTCGAGAAATACATCCGTGACTTTCATCAGCATGTTGGTGTCCTTCAGAAGGAACAACCCGCTGTGGCGCCATCTTCAGACATGTCGTTCAATCGCCAACCAGACAACTGCGTCATCATCGCTCGTACGAAGGAGCCCGCGGGCAAGCGCGCGCGCCCACTCAGGCTCTGCAGCCGTGTCTGAATCGAGTTTCTTTGGGCTCCAGCTGTGTATCAGCTCGAGTGCCAGCCAGTCGACAAGAGTTCATCTTCTGCGTCAAATGCCTGGGCGCGCTGGCGGTCAGGCGCGTCAGCCAGGCCATGAGAGCCCTCCGCCTTCCCGACGGGCCACGGCAGCGCTTCAACGCCAAGGCCATCACGTATCAGGACACGGAGGTGTTCGTTGCGGTGGCAAGCGCCCAGCGGTGGTACGCGCAGAGATCATGCCCAAGCAGGTGCGCGCCCGCCTCGTGGACTTGCGCCCCAGGGCTCGGTTCTTCACGGGCAAGGCGTTCGGGTCCATCTCGTCTCACTGGAAGTCGTGTCTCCGTGCAGAATTCAGGCTCGGCTCCGACCAACGAATGCTGTTCTGCGCACCTGGCAGCGCTCGTCTTCAGCGAGCCCAGACATCCGTAGAGAGACAAGCGGCTCTCGTCTACATAATACATGCTTGATCGCTTCATTAGCAGGTGCATCCTCACCCGAATTAGCCGAGCGATACCGACTTTGGCTCACGCAGAACAGCGCGCTTTGACGCGATCGTGGGCAGAGGCCTTGCGCCCAGACAACCTCGGCAAAACGTTATCAGCTCGCCTCCGCAAGTGGCCCCCAGGCCATCGCCATGTCCTGGCCTCGATAGGCTGGGGAAGGGCGCGGCAGGCTTGCCGCGTGCTCCCACCAGCCATCGCCCCAGCCTGCATCGAGACGCCGAGCGGCTCGTGGACCACCGATTCGGGCTTCCGGCGGAAAGGGTGCTGTTGCATTGCGAAATGCGCGTCGGGCACGGGCGAGGAAGATGAGGAGGAGGAGGAGGAGGAGGAGAAGGAGGAGGGGAAGGGGGGGAGGAGGTGCAGGAAAAGGAGCCGAGATGAGGCGAAGACGGAGGATGAGGAGGGCCCTGCATATTATGGGACGCGCCGCTTCGATGTAGCGCGTGGCGCGTTACCTGGGCGCATTGTTTTTTTACTTGTGGCCCACGTTCTCAATGCCCGCAGAGTGCAAAGCATTGATCCCGAAAGGGCGAACCAATCAAATCAGATTTTCGCACAGGGAGTGAAGAGCTGGGAGAGCATGGGAGAGACGGAGGGGATGAGGTGATTAGGGGGTGCTAGGTTTGGGCGAATATCGTAAGTAGTTGTGGAACTTGTCTGGCCTATACCAGTACGATTCCACAGTTATTCAGCGTTGAGAGTGTGTTCATAATGAGTAAGGACAGTTTCCACTAGCACGTTCATCGACGCAACAACTCGACCACCACTGCCACAGCGTCGTTCCGTCGGACGGGCATCTGGTGAGCGCGGCATATGGTACGCGCGCCATCAAGATCGGCGCCGCCTGAGCCGCCTGAAACTCACGAAACGTTCAGATTGCAAACAATTTCCAAAGTCGAGGCGACAGTGTCGTTTCGTCGGTTCTCTGGCGATTGTGAGTTGCTGGCAATCGAAATTGCGACCGCCCACGACGAGAACACAATGTTTGCCATGCAGCGCGGCATGTTTTCGGATACCACACGTCGGAAGATAACTCGTGCCCATTTGTGCAAACACACAGTCAACGACATAGTTGTTCTCATGAGAAGCGATGATGAGGAAAATGGAAGCTGGGTTGCGAACGTCGAGTGGATGGAGTCCAAGGGGTGGCCTCTTGGCAGTGGGCAGTGCAATTTGCAACTGGCGCTTTTCCATCAGTCTCGACGCGCACAGACAGGGAGTACTTCAGGGCAACCCCTGCGTGCTCCGTTTCCCTCCACATTCGCTGCCAGGAGGACGAAGAGGAAAACGTGGAGCAGGGCCAGGAGAATGCGGGGCAGCAGCAGCAGGAAGACGCGTTGCAGCACGTGGGCGTGCGCGACGGATCACGACGACGACGACGAAAACAACGACGATGACGACGACGGCGACGAAGACGACGACGACGACGACGGCGGCGGCGGCGGGCGACGACGGCGTTGGCGACAGTGGTCGACGGGCGACGGCGGGCAACAGCGGCGGATGCGACGGCGACGGGCGACGGGCGGCGACGACGACGATGGCGACGACGGGCGACAGGAGACCGTCGAGGGCGGGCGACGGTCGGCTGGCGGCGGCGGGCGGCGCCCGCTGGCAGGAGGGCGCGGCCGTGGCCATGCTGCTGGAGCTCTGGCCCGCCGGGGGCGGGGAGCGCCGGGCGCTGGGTCGGCGGGCGGTGGCGCCCGCGGCGGCGCTGCTCCGGGGGCTCGCGGGCGCCCCGCGCCGCCGCGCGGGGGGGGCGGCGTCGGCGCGGTGGCGGCGCGGCGGCGGCGGTCGCCCGTGCGCGCGCGCAATCGGCGGTGGCAGCGGCGACGAGGAGGGACAAAATTAGAGTCATGTTGATTTTGGTGATGATGATAATGAATATGATAATGGCCCCGATGATTATGATGCTTATGACGATCATGATGATGCTGATGCTGATGCTGATGCTGATGATGGTGATGATGATGATGATGATGATGATGATGATGATGATGATGATGATGATGATGTTGTTGATGATGATGATGATGATGATGATGGTGATGACGATGATGGTGATGGTGGTGGTGGTGATGATGATGGTGATGGTGATGGTGATGGTGATGGTGGTAATTGTGATTGTGATGGTGATGGTGATTGTGGATGTGATGATACGGATCATGGTGATGATGATGGTGATGGTGTTGCTTATGAGGGGGATGATGGTGGTGGCTGCAAAGGAGATGATGAGGGTGGTGGTATATTTCGGGTGTGGGGATGAGGAATTGTAGGAGGAGGAAAAGGAGGAATAACATGATGATGATAATGAGGAGCAGTAGCGTGATACTCTTAAGAGCGAGAAGGAGGAGGACCAGAAGGGCAAGCGTGCACGATTTTGTAGGGTGCTCCCCCGACGCGCCCATATCCCTTCTCGTGCTCCTCAGGTTCCCCCTGCCACTCGTAGTCCCTCAAGCGCCCCTGTCCCGGCTTCGTCCGCCCCTCTTCCCCTTTTTTCCGATCACGTTCGTGTCATGCGTTCGTCCCCTCAGCTATCCTCCTCCCCCCAAAAAAGCGCTGCAAAAAACAAGCATCGGGGAATTTCTCGTGAAGGCGAAGGCGCGCGTCGAGCACGACATTCGTCCTCGAGCACGTGCTCTGCGGCATCGCTCGACAGGGAAAGCCTTGGGAATGCCTTGCAACGGCGCTGGCGCCGTCTGGGAATTTCTGAGTGGCGCTGGCGCCATCCCAGAATGCTTTAGAATGGCCAATTCCCAGACGGCGCCAGCGGGAATCGTGACTTAACCAGGGGGGGATGGGGGAGAGGCCGGTCACGGGCATTAGCATCACGAGTACAACAAAAAACGGGAAGGGGGGAATGCAACGATCTCCAAGCGCACATTTCAGCGCCGACGGGGTCTTGATTAGCCATACCACCATCGAACCTGCGGCGTCGGTACCGGAGAACTATCGCGGATCTATGGGCGATGCATCGCCGATTCGATCTCGATTTTTCCTCCCCTGAGTTGGCGCCCCCCTTGTCGTTCCCATTCAAAGGTTGGGGTTTCGCGGCTTCCATCCTAACCTCAAGTGGCGCTTACAGTCAAGCGCTGAATTATGGGCCACTTTTGGCTCAGGAGGGACTTTTGTTTTTGCGGGTCGCTCCTTAGAAATAGGTCGGGTCGGGAACCTATTTGAATCCAAGACTCGCCATCACCAGAAAAGCGTTTCCGTTCCCTCATTTGGAGTTCTTCGTGGTAACACGATGCTTGTACGGGAACTTGGCCCGCTCGGGATGCGGGCAGGCGTTGCTGAGTTGCTGATGCTGATGATGATGCTGATGCTGCTGCTGCTGAGGAGGACGAGGAGGTCGGAGGACGGATGAGGATTAGGCAAGAGGAGGAGGATGCTAGCGGGTCGGGCCGGTGGCCGTCATCCTGCCCCTCCCCCCCAGCTCCGGGCGCAGCGCCGGGCGCCAACGACAGCTGGGCGGGTGCGGCCCAGGAGCTGGCGAGCCTTGAGGCCCCCCCCCTCGAGCAGGGAGCGAGGGGGAGGGAGGTGGAGGGAGGAGGCAGGGGAGGGAGCAGAGAGGGAGGGGGGGGCGCGGATGGAGCAGAGGAGCGAGGAGGGGAGGAAGGGGAGGGAGGGAGGGAGCGGGGGGGCCAGGGGCGGTGGGAGGAGGAGGCAAAGGGGGGAGGCCAGGAGGTGAGTACAGAAGCGACGAGGGAGGGGGGCAGCCAGGCGGATGGAGGAGGAGGAGGAGGAGGAGGAGGAGGAGGAGGAGGGGGAGGAGAAGAAACGAGGAGGAGGAGGAGGAGGAGGAGGAGGAGGAGGAGGAAGAGGAGCCAGGAGCCAGGAGCCAGGAGCCAGGAGCCAGGAGCCAGGAGGCGGGGGGTGGGGCGAGTGCTGGGGAGGCGGAGCCCGGAGGAGGAGGCTGGATGCACAGCAGGCGGAGGCGTAAGAGGGCAGGTCTCGGCTGCGCTGCCTGGAAGGAGAGTATACTTGCGGATGCGATTGGCCCTTCCTGCAGGGGAGCGCAGGATCACTCCCTTCCAACAAGGCCCAAGAGGCCGCCAAGAGGGCCCCAAGACGGCCCATGAGGGCGCCAAGACAGCCCAAGGCCAGGACGGCCCAGAGATGGTCAAGAGGGGGAGCACGAACTGACACTCAGAGCTCTCCACCCCAAGATGACACCCGAGACTGCTGGCGGGCACCCAGGGTACTCCCAGGAAGCGCCAGGAGGCCCCGCAGAGGCCCAAAAGTGGCCCCACGAGGCCCGGAAGAGGCCCCCGAGTCCGTGGTGCCTAGGGTTTGTTCGTGGCACCAAGCTCGCGTTCGTGACTTCGCCGTTCTGCTTCTCGCAGCCGTGCGGAATCCCGCTGTGGATGGGGGATTCAGTAGGCTTGACGTGCGCGGGGACGAGAAGGCAAAGGGCGGGGGCGATGAATAGGGCAGAACGGGTAGCCAGGTAGCAGGAAAGTGCGCGCCAGTGCGCGAATCTAGGGGAGGGCAGGCCACCAACGCGATAAGGGAGACGACGCGTGGGGCAAGCATTCGATCCATCGTTTCGCATGTAGCTCCGGCCACGCTCACGGTGCAGGCCCTCGCCCGACAACGGTTGCAGTTGACACATTGTTGTTGCATCCGTGCGTCACGGAAAGCTCATGCCGTCTGTCGCAGATTCCATGCGATGACAAGCAGCTCGAAATGCACGAAGTATCGGCCATGTTCTTGGGGCCTTTTTGCGACCTCACAGATACGGGCCACCCGCGGAAGTTCCGCGACCAGCATCGTGCGGGTCTTGGAAACTGCAGGGTCGTACAATGTGAACGCGTTTCGATTGTCTGCGAACGAAGGGAATGGAGAGAAGTGAAGGACGAAAAGTAGGAAGAGGAGTGCGATGTTGCTGAGGAGAGGGAGGGAGGAGGCCGCGATGGATAAGACGTGAGGACAAGGAATCTGGCCGAGGAGGGGCAGGAACCGGAGGAAACGAGATCGCCAGGGCGGGCTGCAGTCGGCCCGCGTCGTCAGCAGGCCGTCCCTTCTAGGTCCAGAGTGCCCTGTAAGAACGGTTTTTTGAAGGCAGATCTGCCTTCAAAAAATGGTCTACTCTGTAAGAACGGTTTTTTGAAGGCAGATCTGCCTTCAAAAAACCGGTCTACTCTGTAAGAACGGTTTTTTGAAGGCAGATTTGCCTTCAAAAAACCGTTTTTACAGAGTGAAAGACTGGTCTACTCTGTAAGAACGGTTTTTTGAAGGCAGATCTGCCTTCAAAAAACCGTTCTTACAGAGTGTCCTCGCGGTCCCCGGCACTATTCTCGGCGCTTGCAGGGGACAGGCTCCTGCGTCCCTGTGGCGAAGCCGCGGCGCACCGCCCGCCCCCCCGCCTCTGGCGCCGCGTGCTGCAGTGCGCGGGCGGCGCCAGGCCGTGGCGGCTGGGAGCAGGCGCAGGTGCATGGGGAGCACGACCTGACTCTCCCCCGCCCCCCGCGACGCACGCGCTTGTTATTCGGGGGAGAAAAAGATACGGATACGTGTTGTCCCCCTTCGTTTTCGGCCTTTCCTGGCCCTCCTGGGGAATCCTCGTTGTCACCGCTGGATTCGCTTCGAAATTCTGGTCAGAACGCGCCCCAAGAGAGGTCCGGGGACAACACGTATCCGTATCTTTCCGCCCCCCAAGTTATGCATCGCCAGCGCCTTTGTGGCGCCACTGCGGGGTAGCCGTCTTTGGAGGCCGCCCCAGCGAACACAGAGAAGGCTCCTGCGTCCCTTCGGTCTTTGCGTCACGCTACCCTCTGGGACCCATGTTTGCTCGGCGAAAACATTGTCCCGTGCTCCCGTGTGCCCATGGGCCTACGCCGCGGATGTAGCGATTGGTGCCTGGAGCGGCAGGGAAGAAGAGTCTTTACGGCAGGAGTTGCGGCAAGAGGCCAGATCATCACCGATGGCGCAGTTGGCCTTTATACGCCTCCCCTGAGGGAAGCGGTTTGCTGTCGGTGGCTTCTTACGAGATTCTTGTTCTTGCATATTGTTGCATTATTACGAGACGTATCGTCTATAGGTTGTTGCGATTATTTCTTGTTGCTGCTCACTCACATCTCAAGTAGTTGGACCAGGGTTCCTCGTCGAACTGGTGCGGATGCAAAAACGATCCACGGTTGACCCGTACACGGGTGACCCCTCGCAATATGGAAGGAAGACCAATTCTAACCATGGTCTGTGGTCAGCAAGGCATGCAGTGCTGCACCAAAACAAGACTGCAACCACAGCCTGACGCCTCGGTACTCCCGACGAGCACAAACATCACCTTCAACACGAACAACACTGAACAATGTTGACAATGAAGAACTGCTGTACAACTGTGGAATTCTGGATGAAGCATCGACCCCTCCAGCGCGTCAGCGTGAGCCCATCAACCGGCTGGCGGACGACGCGGGCCTGAAGGTCCGGTGACTTGGGCGAACGCGTCTCCCATGCATCGATGCGGGCACGGACCTCGCGGGAGTCCTTGGGCGACCCGAGTTTCGCGCCGAGGCCCCGAGCCGCACGGGTGCGGCGCGCCATTTAAGGCGGGCTTCGCGAGGGCCCCGCGGCAGCAGGTTTTCGTAGCGATGGTGGAGAGGTTGGGCTGGATGACCCAAGTTGCGCAGTCAATCGCCGTCGGCACCGACGTCGTCGACCTGGGGGCCACTCCCCTTCGTGAGTTCCACGGCTGCGTCCGCCCCGCCGCCGAGCAGGGCCTCAAGGGCGCGCTGTGGGCCGCGTGGGGCGCGGAGTTCAACCCGAAATCGATCTTCGCGGGCGCGCGTTCTCGCGGCGACTGGGCCGCGGGCGCCGGGCGCCGGCGCGTTGGGCGCGAGCGAGGGCGCCCCCTGGCGCGGGGGCACGCGGCCACTGGCGCGGCCAGG